TTTCCCTGCTTCTCAAAATCCCTTAACCAGGGGATTGAACTTGGGACTGGCAAGCACGTGAAGGCCTGTCGCTGAGCCCACAGCTTAGTGAAGTCTCTCATGTGCAAGCCCTGGCTGTTAAAGCTGCTGTTCACCAACTCAGGCCCCCCCCTTCCATGCTCCCTCTAAGCTGCGGAGTTTTGTGAGCAAAGATTCTACTTTGTGGAGCGACTGGCCTTAAAGTTGTGAGCGAGCGATTGGGCTGCTGCAGAAATTAGTCTGCTCTGGAGCAATGTTCCCTCTAAGGAAAAAATTCTACTCTGTGAGCTGCTGGCATTAAAGTTGTGAGCAAGCAATTTGGTTACTGCATGAATTAGTTTGCTCTGGAGCCATCCTTCCTGAGCTAAGAAAAAAAAATGTGTGAGCCAGAGGCTAAAAAAACTGTGAGCTAGCTCACACTAACTCAGCTTAGAGGGAACACTGCTCTGGAGCCGTCCTTCCTGAGCGAAGACAAAAATGTGTGAGCCGGAGGCTAAAAGACTGTGAGCTAGCTCACACTAACTCAGCTTAGAGGGAACACTGCTCTGGAGCCGTCCTTCCTGAGCGAAGACAAAAATGTGTGAGCTGGAGGCTAAAAGACTGTAAGCTAGCTCACACTCACTCAGCTTAGAGGGAACACTGCCCCCCCCCCCGGGTCGGCCCTGCTCTGGATTGTTTGCTCTGAAGACCGGCAGCAGCTCTTCAGGTTTGCAGGCGGAGAAAGGCCTTCCCCAGAAGCGGATACTAGGGCTACTGGGTTGCCAACCTCCAGGTGAGGCCTGGGGATCTCCTGGAGTTCAAACTGATCGGCAGACTACAGAGACCAGTTGCTCTGAAGAAAACGGGTTTTTAAAAACAGGGTGGACTCTGTGGCATTGTACCTTGCTGAGGTCCCTCCTCTACCCAAACCCCATCAGGCTCCACCCACAAAATCTTCAGGTGTTTCCCAATCAGAGTTTATTTATTATGTGAGTTAATAGTTACCTAATTTACACCCCACCTTTCACCCCAACAGAGACCCAAAGCTGCTGACATCCTTCCCCTCTCCTCCATTTTATCCTCACAGCAACCCTGTGAGGTAGGTTAGGGCGAGAGAGTTGACGGCCCTGTGCCATGGACTGACTAAACTTGTGCGGCAAAGCAGACACGGGACCTCTAAGTTGTACCTCCCCCTCCCCAAAAATACATTTCCTTCCATTTATTTTTGGGGGAGGACTGATGTGCTAGTCCCCGTTCCCCACATGTCACATTGTTTTTCTGATGTGCAAGACTGAAAACAGACCATCATCATCATGGAAAAAGAAGAAGTTGCATAGTGTTTTTTGAGATATTCAATTCTGGTTGTGCTTTGGTGTTGTGAACATTTATATCCAACAGCTACAAGGGATGGGCCCTTTTTTGTGGTGGCCTCTGGTGTAGTGGTTAAGTGCGCGGACTCTAATCTGGGAGAACGGGGTTTGATTCCCCACTCCTCCACTTGCACCTGCTGGACAACCTTGGGCAAGCCGTAGTTCTATCAGAGCTGTTCTTGAAAACGAGCAGTTTCTGTCAGAGCTCTCTCAACCCCACCTACCTCACAGGGTGTCTGTGGTGGGGAGGGGGAGGGAAAGGAGTTTGTAAGATGCTCTGAGAATCCTTTGGGTAGCGAAGGGCAGAGTATAAATCCAATCTCTCTCTCTCTTCTTCCAGACTTCAAGGTTCTCTATTTTTTGGAGAGGGGGACATCAAATACTGGCTGAGACTGTTTTCACCTGCTCAGACTTCTGATGATGATTAACTCCAAGGATTTCTTGCCATAATATGTGGTTCTATTTTACTTGATGGGCCCATGTTTTTTTAGTACTTCTTCCTGGTCTATGGCATTGTTGTGTTAAATAATATTATACCCAACCACAAGGTGGGGGCGGGGAAAACAGTTCTGGACTGAAGGGCAGGATATAGACCTTTATAAGAACATAAGAACATAAGAGATGCCAATGTTGGATCAGGCCAAAGGCCCATCCAGTCCAACACTCTGTATCACACAGTGGCCAGAAATACCAGGTGCCATCAGGAGGTCCACCAGTGGGGCCAGGACATTAGAAGCCCTCCCACTGTTGACCCCCCCCAAGCACCAAGAAGACAGAGCATCACTTGCCCCAGAGCCCCTATCTATACCTTGTGGCTAATAGCCACTGATGGACCTCTGCTCCATATGCTTATCTAATTCCCTTTTGAAGCCGTCCATGCTTGTAGCACCCACCACTTCCTGTGGCAGTGAATTCCATGTGTTAATCACTCTTTGGGTGAAGAAGTACTTCCTTTTATCCGTTCTAACCCGACCGCTCTGCAGTTTCATGGAGTGCCCACGAGTTCTTGTATTGTGAGAAAGGGAGAAAAGTACCTCTTTCTTTACCTGCTCTTTCCCATGCATAATCTTATAAACCTCGATCATGTCACCCCTCAGTCGTCTTTTCTCCAAGCTAAAGAGCCCTAAGCGCTTTAACCTTTCCTCATAGGGAAAGTGTTCCAACCCTTTTATCATTCGAGTTGCCCTTTTCTGCACTTTTTCCAAAGCTATAATATCCTTTTTAAGGTGTGGTGCCCACACCTTAAAAATAAACTAATGTAATGTTATTAGGTAGAGGGGGAAATGACAGAAGTCAGGGTGAACTTGGGAGAGAGAGAGAGAGAGAGAGAGAGAGAGAGAGAGAGAGAGACCTGTTGGGATGATGCCTTGTCCAGACTTGGTCTGTTGGGGTGCTCAGCACCATCTTCCCTGGGTGGTAGGAGCTCTCAGGCAATACGCAGTCTTTTCAACACCAACTGCTATTTGTTGGCAACATATTGCAGGCTTTTAACTGGAGGTATTTATTGACTTGATTTATATTCCAGCATTGTTCTCAATGTCATCAGATCTTGGCTGCTAAGCAGGGTCAGCCCTGGTTAGCATTTGGATGGGAGACCACCAAGGAAGTCCAGAGTTTCTATACAGTCAGGCAGTGGCAGACCACCCCTGAATGTCTTTTGCCTTGAAAACCCCATGAGGGGTCACCAAAAGTCGCCTGTGACTTGATGGTACTTCCCACCCACCACCACATTCTCCCCAATGGGGACCCAAAATGACTTTACACCGTTCTCCTCTCCTTGAGCTGCGGTGGCTCAAGTGGTTAAGACGCTGAACTGCAGGCTGTGGAAGGTCAGTAGTTCAGCAGTTCGAGACCTGGGTTGCCGCATGACAGAGTGAGCTCCCGTCTCCGGTTCCAGCTCCTGCCAACCTAGCCATTTGAAAGCAAGAAATTGCAAGTAGATCAATAGGTACCACTTCGGTGGGAAGGTAACAGCGTTCCGTGCGCCTTGGTGTTTAGTCATGCCGGCCACATGACCACGGAAACGTCTTCGGACAGCGCTGGCTCTTCGGCTTTGAAACGGAGATGAGCACCGCAACCCTAGAGTCGGATTTGACTGGCTTTCGAGCAAG